AGTACGGATGACCAATTCTCACGCCCCGGTGGGTTGGAGGCCGAGGACAGAAAGCTGTGCTGGGCCCGCGGTGCCGGTGCCAAGGAGGCTGGAGTGCTGGCCCCGACACCCTGTCGAGCGAACCTCCGAGCGGAAAACACTGCCCCAGGAGGGCCTTCCCACCGCGGCGGATGGGCCGACTCCCAGGGACCTGCCACGGTGCCGTGAGCCCAGCACACCCCGGGGCTCCACCACAGGTGACACAGAGGCTGGGAGACTCCGAGGAGGGACAGGTGCACGGTCAGAAGAGGGGCCCCAGCAGCTCCTCCGAGCGAGTCACCTGTGCAAGAGAACCCCTACATGAATGTCCTTCTGGACCACGCCGTAACCAGCAGGGCTGACTGGGTCACACGGGACTCACCACCCGTCCCAAAACAGCCATTTCCTTTCAAACACCCGAGGTAGCCCCCGTCCCAGGTCCCGCAGGAGAGGGGCTCAGTCACCCCCACTTGGACGCCAATCACGAGGCCAGGTTGTCACCCGGGCACCTGAACCGCGGGCTGTAGTTTGGAGGTGCCGACAGCGCCCCCTGGGGGTCGAGTCGCTGGCGAGACTGGCAGAACTCCGAGAGTCATTTTTCGTCCTGGGTCACTGGTGTAGTATAAACAGTGTCCCCAAGGAGCGGCCAGACGGGGGAGACGTGCAGGACAAGGGATGTGGGGAGGCCCCGTGCCCTCCTGGGGTCCCCACTGTCCCCCAGTCTCCACGTGTTCACCAACCAGAAGGTCCCTGAGCCTGCCCGTTTTGAGTGTGATGGTGGCTTCCTTGCAGTCGACACTGATTAAATAAATCACGGGCCGCGGGTCCCAGAGCTCAGCCTCAGAGGTGGGGGTGGGGCAGTCACAGGGTCGGGTCCCTTAACGGCCCGCCCTGTCCTCGCCAGCCTTCCGGGCGGCTCTCGCACATACGCCTAGGGTGGTGGGGAGGGGTGTGGTGGGAATATTAAGGTGCTTTTATCGCTCTTTGCCCTTAGGAGATTCCCAGGGTTTTAGGGATGGGAAGAAGCTCTTGCATACAAGTGGGTGAAAGTAGGTTCACAGTTGTGAGCATGTGAAACCGGCTTACTCCTGCACTACTGTTGATTAATTAGCGTATGATTTTCCATACGAACACCCGTAAGCTGCTTTCGCCCGCCTCTGGATATGCCCTACGGCCAGGCACAGCGTCACGCTCCCTCCCGCAGCTGCCTCCTCTCCCGGGGCCGCCCCTCCCCCGGCTGCTCCCCGGTCCCCAGCCGGGGCCGAGTCTGCGCACGGCGGCTGTGCCATCCCGACCCCCAGCACAGCAGGCACCCCCGCGCCCCGAAAACTGAAACCAATGGTCTCCAGCTGGTGTAACAGTGTCCCAGGACACGGTCAAAGGTATTTACGGGGATACAGTGGGACCCAGAACCCAGGAAGGCGAGCGTGCGGCTGCGGCTGGCGTCGTTGGAACGCCCCCACGCGGAGGAACGGAGAAAACACGGCCCTGCGTGCGGAGGAAGACAGGCCCGGCCCCGCAGCCCGGCTGACCCAGAGCTCAGAGCACAGGCGGGGACGGGAAGCCTTATCACAGCTCTACGCCCCGGGGCGGGGGGGCATGAAAAACGTGCCAAAGACCCACAGCGGACCTCGGATGTGGCAACTGCGGTGCCTGTCTGTGTGGAGCTTCCCCCTCTAGGGACCCGGCAGGAGCGGGGGCACGCAGAGTCTGTCCCTCTGGGCTGACTTCTTTCTCCAAGCGCGATGTCCTGTAGGTCCGTCTGCGCTGGAGCGGGAGTCAGGGCTGAGTGGTGCCCCGTTGCGTGGATGGGCCACGCTTGGTTTCTCCGTTCGGCTGCCAGTGGACCCACGCCACACCCAGCTCTCGGCCGTTGGGAAGAGCGCCGTGACCAAGGCGGGGTTGCCACTGTCTCCTCCAGACGCGCGAACAGTCCTTTGGGTGCCTGCCCTGGGGTGGGATTGCCGGGTCACGGGGCCATCTTGTTGCTTTTGGTAGGAACAGCCCTGCTGTCTTCCATGGCGGCAGGAAGGCGGCGGGGAGGGGCGCCCCGTTTGCAGGGGAGTCTGGGAGTGCTGGCGAGTTACACGGCATCTTGTCTGCTGTGACGAGGGCGCTCCTGGGGCGTGGGGACAAGCCCCCACGACGGGGAGGTGTGCCCCCTAGATGGACAGCAAGCCCAGGGGTCCCTGAGCTTGGGGCCCTGGCGCCGGGGACACCCTGTGATGACCACAAAACAGACCAGCAGCGCTCCTAACCCGCGCTGCTGCCCGGCCCTCGGCTCTCGGCTGGGGGCAGTGGGCTGGTGGGGCGGGGCGTTCCCAGTCGAGTCAAAGCCTGTGGGGGCTTCCCAGCCCCAGGCAAAGTAACCTCCTGCCTCTGCGATTTAATGCGAACCTGACCCCCACCCAGTTCTCAGGTGCAAGGGGTCCTGGGGAAGGGATGGGGCCGAGTGACTGTTGGGCCAGGTCCCCTCCCAGGTCCAGTCACTGGGCCTCGAGCAGGGCCCAGCGCCCCGCCCACGCCTCACGGTGCCGTGGCCCAAGGCCAGCGGTTCCTGGTTTTCCTGTGTTCTTAAGGGATTCTCTGGAACTTAAGGGATTCTCTGGAACTTCATTCCCGGAAACGGCGACCGGGCGTGGCCCGAGAGGCACGCTCTGTGGCTGGCTGCGGTCACTGCTGGCCGGCGCACAGCAGGACGGCCGAGAACGCCAGGAGGAAGTGGGGGCCGCCGGCGTCTCCCCAGCTCTCCAGCAGACAGGACGCCTGCTCTTCCTGGCGGGCCTGCAGCTGCTGCGCGTGACCCTGCTGGGCAGGCCCCAGCACCTGGACACCTGTTTGGCGTGGACACCTGTTCGGCGGCCTGTGCTGGGGTCCTGGGACCACCGCAGCAAAGGACCACACACATGGGGGGCAGGGCAGGGCGGGGGCGTCTAACAACATGAACTCACTCCCACCCGGTCCTGAGGCCGGAAGTCCACAATCGAGGTGTCCCTCTAGGGACTCTAGGAGAGTCCCTAGACTCTAGGAGACGGTCCCTCCTGCCTCTTCCAGCTCCCAGGGGCTTCGGGCACTCCCTGGCTGGTGGCCACATCGCTTGCATATCCACCTTCATTGTCCCACGGTCTTTTCTCTGTGTCCCACTTTCACTACATGGACACTAGAGTTAGACCTGGGCCACCCCACCATTGTGTGGCCTCATCCGAACTGACAGCCACCCTCTGAGGTTCCAGATGGACGTGAGTTTCCGGGTGACGCCAGCACCCCACTCTGTTCTTCGTTCAGACGCCCACACCGGGGAGACCGGGCTCAGAGGCCGGGTCCCGGAGTCACGGGAAATAACTCAGATAGGGGACCTCCTGTGGCCAGGGCCTGCTGACGGCGTGCGGCAGATGCTGGGAGGTTTATCTCTTTGGCCCATCTCGGATCTCTGACTGAGCGTCACGGGCTGTGTTTCCTTGCCCGTCCTCACCCCGCTTTGCTTCAACTTCCCACAGACTTTCATCAGACCCGGGAACCACCCGCCTGAGCTGGGGGTGCCCACGCTGGGACGGGCACCTGCCCCACTGAGAAGCTCAGGCTGTGGGTCCCCACCACTGTGAGGAGGGGGCACCACGCCTGAGCCGGCTATTGGGCCGCCCCCTCCCCCTCATGGAAGGGCATTGCAGCGTCCTGGGGTCATCTCCCCTGCAGCGGGCCCTTGCCAGGCACTGTGCTAAATGGCCTCTGTGGGCAGGAAGCTAGGGTTCGGTAGCAAAGCACAGCTAGGCTAGGAGATGATGCCGATGACAGGTGGGTGGCAAGGCCCCAGCGTGCCCTGGGGCCCCCCAGGGTCCGACCGGCCAGGGCCCCCACCTCCAAGAGACGGGGTGCTCCTCTGTAGGACAGCTCAGAGCAGCTGCGCCCCCTCCTGGCTGCCCCCCAATGCCTACCTGCCCCTGAGAGAGCAGGTTGACCATGCAGGATGCCAGGCAATGGCCTTCGTGCCCCCTCACACAGGGCACGGGGCACGTGTATCCCCACCGTGGAATCAGCGAGACTCATCCCTCTGTGACTCACTCCGTCCCCCGCACACCAGCCAGGGTCTCCTGGGTGCCAGCACACGCCAGTGTGAGAGGGGCTCACGGCCTCGCCTGGCCCTCAGCTCCCCCAGGAGCGGGAGCGGGACGAGGGCTTCCTCGGATTAAACCGTGAGGCCCGGGCAACCCGGGACCCGTGGTTCTCCCTCCTCCACGCACAGCAGCCGCTGCTGTGCCGGCCCCACCGCCCGCCTGCCGGTGACCAGGCCACTTCCCACCCGACCGGCATCTGGGTGACCCAGGCGATTGATTCTGTGACCCCCACTGTCGCTGTTGGCACCATTATCACTACTCTTAGCTGCAGACGTGTTCAGGCTGCTCCCCGGGGCCAGGCCCACCTGGGGGCTCTACCTGAACCCCACTTCACCATGCACCCACAAGGGGGGCGGGGTGCCGCCCGGGGCCCCAGCTACAGGCTGTGCAGGAGAGAAAAGCAGAACCAGGAGGGGAATGGGAAGGGGCCCAGGCCTTTCCCGGAACCGGGCGGGCAGGGCGGCACCTGCAGCCGGGGCTGGGGACGCAGGCAGGCTGCCACGCCGACCAGATGGCCAGGGATCCGGGGCCAGGGGCCCTGCCCTGAGGGACACAGCTGTCCTCAGGGCTGGCTCTGACCTGTCACTGCCCAGAGCCTGACCCAGGAAGTGTCCCTGCAACTGGCGGCCAGCCCGGGCCCCCATGCCTGACCCTTCCCTCCTGGGCTCTGCCAGGAACACTTCAGGCCCGGGGACACAGGGGACCTTCCTGTTTGGACACAGGGGAAGAAGGCCTCCTGTTGTCCCAGTCCGGGAAGCCACCCGAGGGCAGAGGAGGAGCTGCGGGCATTCGGGGAACCCCTGGCCGAGGGGCCGCGCGGCGCTCCTATATAAGGCCCCGCGCCCGCCGCCTCGGCCTCCTCGCTCCTGAGCTCAGACGCGCCCCGCAGCAGCTGCAGCCATGAGGTGTCTTCTGCTGGCCGTGTGCGTGGCCCTGGCCCGTGGCGCCCAGGACATCTTTGTCCCTCAGATCGGGGAGAACCTGGACGTCCAGAAGGTTCGGGGGTGGGGGCGTCCTGCAGGGCGGGTGGGGAGCTGCGGGGTCTCTGGAGCCGGAGGAGGCTGTGACATCCGGGGTCTGTGGGACTTCGTTGGAGCCACAGAGTGTGCGCAGGGGCGGTGGCCTGGACCGCAGAGGTTCATGGTCTCGAGTCCCAGACGCCGGAGGACCGAGACCCAGGGGTGGGCGAGGCTGGCTCCTCCTGGCTCGCCCCTGGGCGTGCAGTCCTCCCACAGCCTCTCCCCTGCACCATTGGTGTCAGCGTCTCTTCCTCCTCAATGTCACTAGCACGGGGGGCGGGCGCAGGGCCCCCCAGAGACCTCGCTGGAACTTCACCACCTTTTAAAACCCCCTCATCCAAACAGCCCTGGTCTGAGGGGCTGGGTCAGGACTTCTGCAACACATGAAATTTGGGGGCAGAGTTTGCCCCCACAAGGTCCCTCTGCCCACCGCCGTGTTTCCCATCTCTAACCACGTGTCCTCCCCAGATCCAACCTTCCACCCTCGCTCATGCAGCGGGCTTCTCTAGGTCCCTCTTTGGGCTCAGCTGGGTTCAAGTAGAACATTCCTCAGCTCAGCAGGGAAGGGGTCCCATGGCGGGCCCAGGCAGGGTGTCAGCAGGTGCTCCAAAATCCCAGCCCCTCCTCCGCAGGCTGGCCTCAGGGGGTTAGAAATGGGTAGGACTGGGCCTGGCCTGCACCGGGAGGGATGGAGTGCCCCTCCCGCCCTGTCCAGGGGCGGGGGTCCACGCCCCGCACCCAGAGCAGCCCGGCCCTCCCCAGGTGGCTGGGCCATGGTACCCCATGGCCATGGTGGCCAGCGACGCCGCCCTGATGAACGCCGAGCGCGCCCCCATGAGGCTGTACATCAAGGAGCTGAGGCCCACCGCCCAGGATGGCCTGGAGATCACCGTGCGCAGATGGTGGGTGGGCCCGGCTGCGGGGGGCGGGGGTGGGAGGGGCTCCTGATGGGGCCAGCCCGGGGCTCTGGGCCCACAGGCCCACCACACAGAGGGACCAGCGTCAGTGCGGGCAGAGGCCCGTGAGGAGGCCGCTGCCTGGTGCTCCTGCCCCAGCCCCTTCTGCCCCTGGGGTGGGGGTGGGAGTGGGGGTGCGGGACTGAGAGAGCAGGGTGGGGGTGGGGTGAGAGCCCAGGGCCCACCACTGCCAGCCCACAAAGCAGACCATGGTCCGGGGCCGTGCCGGCCCTTTTCTCTGGCTCCAGTGAGCCCTCGGGAACCTGGTCAGCTGCGGCTATTGGAGGTGGCAGGGAGTGCAGCCTGGACAGGTGACTGGCCCCGGGGCCCAGACTCCCCCTCCCCCGGGGGTCCTTCTGGAGCCTGGCGTCTCTCCTTGCCCCTCAGCTGGGCCTGAGGGCCACAGAGTCCGTGCAGCGGGCCAGGGGACACTGTGGCTCAGGGGACACTGTCTTCCAGGGAGGACGGCAGCTGCGTGGAGAGGAAGATGTTCGCCGAGAAGACCGAGGCCCCTGCCTCCTTCCAGATCCACAGTACGTGCCAGTTCCGGGGTGGCCGGCGCCGGCAGGGACCGGGTCTCAGGGCGAGCCTGTCCTCCCTCCCTGCCTCCCTCCCTCCCTCCCTCCCTCGGTGGTGTCCGGGGTCTCCCCTCGGGGTGCACAGGGGAACCCATGCCTTAACCCGCTGGGTCCCAAGACCCAGGGGTGGGTGTGGACTGAGTGACAACTGGGTGCGAGTCCTGCAGGCGGCCGGCACTCAGGCCCCTGTGCCCGGGGTCAGGTCTCGGGGAGGCTGAGGTGTGTTGGGCGCAGAGCCAGTCCCGGTCCTCGCCCCGAGGCCGTGCCGGGAGAGCGCCCAGCATGCCCTCTGCTGGTGCAGGCAGAGCCCCCTGACAGAGCTGTCTGGTCCCTCTTCCAGGCCAGGACGACGACAGCGCGGCTCCTGAGGCGGCCCTGGGGGAGGGCAAGGTGCACGTGCTGGACACCGACTACAAGAACTACCTGTTCCTGTGCCTGGAGGCCGCTGCCGCCCCCGCCCAGCAGAGCCTGGCCTGCCAGTACCTGGGTACGCACCGCCCCGGCTCCCCGAGCCAGCAGGGGGGGCAGTGGGCAGCGGGACAGGGAGGGGCGGCCCCAGGGTCCCTGGATGGCTGGGGCTGGGGCTGCGGCTGGCTGGCGACAAGGGCAGACGTGCAGGCTGGGGAACGGGGTTTGGAGCAGCTGAGGTCACTATGGGTCCAGCAGCCTTTGCTAACAGACAGTCTCAGTGAGGTCCCCGAAGACGTCAGCTACAAAATGTCCTTGAACTCTAGTGTCCTGAAAACGACATGAGTGACTGCTTCACTGTCACAGAAGCCGTGCCCCTGGGCCTTCCCAGGGCTCCCCAGTCGACCATGGGCGAAGGGCCCACTGGTCGGCCAGCTGAGTGGTGGTGGCCAAAGAGCCCAGGGCCCTTGTCCCCCTGGGACCGTGTAGACTCTACCTCCAGCACCCGTCTGGGAGGAGGAGGGGGGACTGGGCCCAGGGAGAACCAGGACCCCTGAGGACTGTGGACTGAGCCCTGGAGACCACCCCTGGGAGGCGGGGCCAAGCCCTGCCAATCCCAGGATGTGGGCGTGGCCTTCCAGAGCAGGGTCCCCAAGGAAGGGTCCCTGGCTCCCTAGACCCCCTCAGAGCCCCCATGGCCCCAGTACTGCCCCCTGCCCCCACAGCCAGGACCCCAAAGGCTGACAAGATGGCCAAGGAGCAGTTCAGCAGAGCCGTGAAGCTGCTCTCCACCCACACCTCCATCACCTTCACTCCAACCCAGGCCGAAGGTGAGCACCGGCCCCCCGCCCGTGGTCCCCAGTCAGAGAGCTGTGGCTCTGGGAATGTCCGTCTCCCATGGGGGCCTCCGATTCCCCTGAGGTGGAGGTGGGGGGTGCGGAGCCCCTGAGATGTGATCCCCGCAGACCCCTCTGGTGTTATGTCCAAACTGTGACCTCCCCACGCTGCCTCCTCCCACAGATAGGTGCCGTGTCTAGGCGAGCTGCTGCCCACCTACCTCCTGGGGTAATGTAGCTGCCCTGCCCCCTGGTCCTGGGCATGGGGTGGGGTCTCCGTGGGGCTCGGACTCCCCTCTGCCACCCGCCTCCCCGCTGTGGGAGTGCTGGATCCCGGGAACCTGTGGGGTCTCCCCCGGGGGCTTCTCTCAGAGCCTGTGAATGGAGGCTGGCCACCTGTCCCCTCTCTGGAGTGGCCTTGAACTGCCGGGCTGTCTTTCCTGTGTCCTGGCCCCACTCCCGCTGAGGTCCCCTGCTCCTCTGGGCCCTGGTGTGGGCCCAGGTGGGGTTAGGAAGGGCAGGTGGTGGGTGGCAGGGGTGGGGTTGGACAGCCACTCAGCCTGAGGCGGGGGTGAGGCCTCTGCTCCCCCCTGTGGGGAGGGGCTGGCGAGGGTCCATCCCGCAGGGCCCCTGGTGACTCACTGATCCATTTCAGGAGCCTTGGCCCCTCTGCAGAGACGACATCACCTGTCCTCCCAGGTCCGAGGACTCAGGGGGGACTGAGACCGTGGAGGCAGCTGGACATTACTCCTCCTGTCACCAGGCTCCTCCAGGCCCCAGCCTGGGACTAGGGCTCTGAGCCTTCCCCGATTCAGCAATAAAGACGCTGACCAGCAGGGCTGTCTGTGGGAGTCTTTCCTGGCGGCGGCTGTGGGACTGGGGACCGGGGCTGGGGGCGAGGGGCAGGACCGGGGTGCAGGGCCTGCTGCGTCACAGACCTTGGGACATTTAGGGTCAGCACACATTGGTACAAGCTCTCTCAGCTCTCAGGAGCTCAGAAGGCCCTGAAGCTTTCCTGACAGGAACAAAGAGATTTCCCCTGGGTGGAGGGCCGGGCAGGAGAGGCGGGAGGCAGAACGGAAGCTGGTCTGCTTTTCGGAGACTTTGTAGCATCTCAAGTGGAAGAAGGGTCCAAGGCAGCAGAAACAGGGATTTCCAAACAATAAGGACAATTCTATGTAGCAAGTCATTATAGACACACATTTTAACACATACATCTGATTACATGTAACTGATATAAGGTGCATGGACATAACAGCTTATGTATAGTATGAAAGCTTTAAAAATTAGGATGGAATGGATACATTTCTAGGAAAATATCAGTGACCAACGTGGGCTGAGGAAGGAACCTTTAGCAGAACCATAAGTGCAGAAATCGAGAGCATTTCCCGCCGTTCTCGGTCCGAGGGGGCCAGCCACCCACCCCACACCGAGGAGGCTGCTCCGCAGCTCCGCTGGGCCAGGCTGAGGGAGGACCTGCCCCATGTGGAATAAGGACACGAATATCTAGGAAACCGATCAGCAGGTTGAATCTAGCAATGTACACAATACATTGCCTTTTTCAATTAATTATTTTTAGAAACAGAGGAAGGGACGGAGAAAGAGAGGGAGAGACATTGATGTGTGAGAGATGCATCAACCGGTTGCCTCTCAGGCACGTGCCCTGACTGGGAATCGAACCGGCGACCTTCCTGTAGTCAGGCTGACACTGAACTGCACCAGCCAGGGCGGACATTAATTTTTGTAAACCACCCAGCACCGTTCATAATGGCAGGAGACGGAACGCTTTCCCGCAAAGACAGAGAGCAAGGGGCGGGTGTCCGATGCAGCAGCTCACTGAGAGCCAGAAGACCGTGGGAAGAAAGGACACACACGGGCCCTGGGCAGGGAACTCCTAGCAGGACCAGCAAAGCCAGAGAGAAGATGCGAATTTCTGATGTCGGAATGAAAGGGCCGTGACTACAGACCCCTCAGACGCCAGACGAGTCGTGAGGGAGAGCTGTGAACAGCACTCTGCACAAAAATGTGACAATGTAGATGAACTGGACCAACTCCTCACAACATACAAACAACCACCCTGGCTGGGGCGGCTCACTGGGTGGGGCATCGTCCCACAAACCAAAAGGTCGCCGGTTCGATTCCCAGTCAGGGCACGTGCCTGGGTTGCGGGCCACGTCCCCAGCTGGGGCCGGGCGAGAGGCAACCGATTGATGTTTCTCTCTCACGTTCATGTCTCTCTCCCTCTCTTTCTTCCTCTCTTCCCCCCTTTCTGAAAATGAATCAAACAAAATCTTTAAAAAAGTACAAACAACCACGACGCATCCAACAGGAACTAGATAACTTGAAGAGCCCTACAAGTATTTAAAGAATTAAACTTCTAATTTTAAAACGCCACAACAAGACATGTCCAGGCCCAGATGGTTTTACAGGAGAATTGCACCAAATGTTTAAAGAAGAAATGTGGCCCTGGCTGGCATAGCTCAGTGGATTGAGTGCGGGCTGCCAACCAAAGTGTCGCAGGTTCGATTCCCAGTCAGGGTACATGCCTGGGTTGCAGGCCATGACCCCCAGTAACCGCACACTGATGTTTCTCTCTCTCTCTCTCTTTCTCCCTCCCTTCCCTCTCTAAAAAAAAAAAAAAAAAAAAAATGTGAACGCAGTCCGCTGCAGAAACAGAAGGGGGCGGGGACACTTCCCCACTCATTTTATGAAGCTAATATTACTCTGATTCCACAACCATACGAAGATTTTGTTAAGAGACTAATGTTTCTCCCTAACAGAGATGCAACGATCCGTAACAAAATACCAGCAAAGAGATTTCAGCGACACGTGGAAAAAAAACGGACGCCGCGAACAGGCAGGGCTCGCGCCGGGGAGGCGTGGCTCGCGCCAGGGAGGCGGGGCTGGCGCCGGGGAGGCGTGGCTCGCGCCAGGGAGGCGGGGCTCGGGCCAGGGAGGCGGAGCCGGCTCAACCCCGGAAAATCAGCCCCCGGAACCCACTGCTGGGTCGGGCTCACAGAGAAAAACCAGGTGGTCCTCTCTGTCAATGCGGAAAAAGCGTTCGATCAAACTCAACACCCACACACGATCAAATAAAAACTCAGAAAAACAGGAATTGGGGGGGCTCCTAGACTCGATAAGAGCACCTTTAAACCCTTTGAATTCCCATTGTACTGAGTGGGGCGAGGGAGGCTCTGCGAGTGACCGACGGCGGGCGACCAGGGCCGTGGCAGGGACGTCTGCTCTCCTGCCCGCCTCCAGGAACTTCCACCCCGGGCGAGGACTCGAGGAGAGTAATAACAGGCACGATCCTTTAACACGTACCCCCCCCCAAAAAAAAAAAAAACAGCAAAACAAAACTAGACCAAATGTGTGAGTTCACTAAGGCAGCAGAATCCAGGATAAATAAATATACAAAAATCAATTGCATTATGGCATACTAGTAATAAATGCGTGGACACTGGAATTAAAAATGCAATTTGTGATCACTCAAAAGAAAACCTGGAAGACAGGCGCAACGCTAAGGAGGCGCGGGTAGCGTCTGCATGCTGAGGACTGGATGCTGCTGATAGAAAAAAAAAAAATCCAGGACCTAAACCGGGGGAGAGACTCACAGTGCCCACTGCCCACAAGACTCCAACGCTGAAATGCCGATTCTCCTCTTCCCGGCTCCCACGATCCATGCCAGTCCTATCGAAATCTCGGCAAGGGTTTCGTGGGCCCAGGGGAGACCCCCCTGACATTTACGTGGAAGGCAACAGACCCAGAGCAGCTAAAATGATTTTGAAAGCAATGCAACACACGAGAGGAACCGGCCTATCGGATTTCGTGTCCGGCTATGTATCTTGTATCTTGTTGCACGGTCATCGAGAAGCTGCCGTCTTTGCAGAGGCGAGAACCAGAAACGGACTCACACCGATGGGACCGACTGTCACGCCGTTGCCCGGAGAGGGTGTCCCTCACTTGTGCACAAAGGCGCACCTGCCTCCCTCACAGCCTGGCGCACCTGCCAAGCTCAGTGCCCCAGGGGCCGGGCCCTCCGCGGCCAGGCAGGCTCCTAGCACGCTGAGGCCCCTCCCTCCGTAGGCCCCTCCCTCCGTAGGCCCCTCCCTCTGTAGGCCCCTCCCAGGAAGGAGTCTCCTCTCCCCACAGCCCCCCACTGCTCAGCCAGAGGCTGTGGCGCCTCCAGGCTCTGTCCCATTCATGTCCCACCTCGTCCCTGAAGCTGTGCCCACAGAAACCCTGCAGCGAGCGTCTCCGCCGGGGGTTGGGGAGCCGTGACGGGAACGTCCCGCTCCAGGCGCCCACGCCCGTGACCCTTAGATGAACCTGTCGCCGTGCTTTTCACTGTCTTGGGTAAAAAATCAGGCCCATTCTGTGCCTTAGATGCTGTAGCTCCTCAGCCTGGGCTGGGGCCCACCTTGGTCCCAGGCCCCGGCGGCCCGTGGACCTGCCACAGCTGATGGCTCAGCCGCCAGGGCAGACTCCGCCCCATCCCCCTGTGACAGGTCCCCTGGCTCTCTCTGTCCCGCGTCGGAGGAATCAACGACTCATTAGAAGCACCGGACACCCGCAGGACTCTGGATTGCTGAGAGGGAAGCTTGTACTGAACCAATACGTTTTTTTTAAAGATTTTATTTTTTCACTTTTTAGAGAAAGGGGAAGGGAGGGAGAAAGAGAGGGAGAGAAACATCAATGTGAGAGTGAAACATCAATTGGTCGCCTGTTGTAGGATCCCCTACTGGGAATCGAACCCACAACCCAGGCATGTGCCCTGACCAGGATTGAACCTGTGATGCTTTACTCAGTGAGCTGATGCCCAACCAACAGAGCCACATGGGCCAGGGCCCGAGTCGATGCTTTTGAACCTGAAGGGGAAGCGTCAGGTGGCAGCTCAGCGGACCAGCCGCTCTCGCAGGCGGTGCTGCTTTGTGTCCTGGAGGCTGTAAGTCATCACACGTGTCCCTGCAGGAGGAGAAGGCACCAGCTGCCTCCCCAGCAACGGGCGTCGACAGCCCGGACGGCTGCTGGGTGGCATCGGAGCCCTCCAGGGCAGGGCCACCCCGGGATAAACAGCCCAATCGTCACAGAGCCGTCGGAAGGGAAACGCACCCACTGGCTCAGCCAGCCTGTGTCTCCTGCCTGCATCTCATCCCGGGAACCTGGGGCTGTGGGCCCCACCCAGCCCCCGTCCCAAAGGGCCGTGTGGACTTCTACGTGTGGATCTCATCAGCGTCCTTGGGTGACCCCCACAGGGAGGTGGGGCGCTCGCTCCCTGGTCCATGAGGACACGCCCGCTGTGTGTTTAACTCATCGAGAGCCTTCCGAGCCGGCCCCCGACATCGCAGTGCCTGCGCTGGGTCCCCGAGGCTGGGCAACCGAGGGGCCAGCCTGTGTGAGCCCCGAGGGGGAGCCAAGCTCCGAGTCACCCAGCCCAGGTTCCCACTGACACCCCCCCACCATGCCTGCCACACCTGTGCTCCCACCAGGACCCCCCAACGAGACCCTCAGATGCTGGACCCCTTCCAGGGCTGAGGAAGGCCCGGAGAGAGGTGGGGCTGCCACCTGGCCGCCCGCAGGGACACCCCCTCGGTGACGGGCCCTGGAGAGCTGTGTCCAGGCTGAGAGAGTGGGAGACGTTTCCAGGAACCGCTCTCCTGTGGCAACAACGCACGAGGGCGGGTCCCAGAAAGGCAGGGCCAGACGGCACATCAACCTGGGACACAGGTGGGTGCAGTGATGACCGGCAAGCCTGTCCCACCAGAGCGGCTGACCGTCCCAGGGGCTCCCAGGGCAAGAAGGTGGCGGCCACAGGAAGGGCCCCCTCCCCCACCGCAGCAGGGGATGGGCGCTACCAGGAGGCGCGCCGGCTGGGCGGTGGGAGCCGAGTCTGCGGGACAGGCAGACACACCTGGGTCCTCCCGCCGCCTCCCACGCTCCCAGGACAGACGCGCAATGTGGCCCAACTGCCCCGACAACACTCACCCCCCCCCACCCCCACCGCAGTGACACCCTGTGCACCTTTAGACGCAGACGGGTGGTGTGGCTCCCACGGATGTGATTCCGGAACCTTCCGGGAGTCCGGGCGGGACGAAGGGCCGCTGCAGGACGTGTGTGAAGAGAGGGCGCCGGCTGCCCGGCCTCTGCCCCTGCAGGCCCCTGCCGCCATGGCCCCGGAGGGAGGGGCCCTGCTGCTGCTCGCCCTGAGCCTGGGCCTGGGCCTGGCCAGCGCCCAGCAGACTCTGGAGGAGGTGCCGGTGCAGCCAGACTTTGACGCCCGGAAGGTAACCGTGCTGGCTCGGGGGCCGGACTGGCCCTGGGACAAGGACGTGGGTGCCGGTCTCCTGGGGCAGGTGGGCAGGGCGCAAGGGACAGGTGTGGGGCAGGTGGGCAGGACGCAAGGGACGGAGGTGGGCGAGGACGCTGGGCGTGTAAGGCCTGAGAGGAGAGTGTCCACAGGAAGGAGGCCGCCCACTCCCCCCGCCCTGGCCTGCGGCCCACGGGCCTTCACCTCCCTCCCCAGGGGGTGGGGGGGGTTCCTGACCCCCAGCAGCGCTCAGCGCTGGGGAGGGGCCCGACAGCCAAGACTGCAGGCTCCTCGAGCCCCGCCCACCTCGCGCCTGCCCCCCTGCAGGTGGAGGGACGCTGGCTCACCGCCCGGCTGGCCGCCAGCCACACACGCCTGGTGTCCCCTGAGGACCCCTTGAGACTGGCCCTCCATTCCATTGGGACCCGGGACCAGGACCTGGAGTTCGTCTTGTTCTGGATGTAAGTGTGCCCCCCACCCCCCGCAGGTCCCGCCAGGGTGCTCAGGCACAGGGGCCTCCCAAGGGACAGGGACAGAGGTTAGAACAGAGGACACAGGGCACTGAGCTGGGGGCTTGAGAAGCTGACGAAGGCGGGAGGGAAAGATGCACACCCAGCCACCCAGCGGTCCTCACGGAAGACCCCAGGTGGGGCGGGGGGCTGGGGGCCAAAGGTGTGTTCAGTGCACAGCACCCAGGTGGTCGGGGACACCACTCCTGGCAGGTCCCTACCTTGAGACCTGAAGCTCAGACCGAGGACAAACTGGACCCCACCCCTCCCGGGAGGTCTGGCTCCGCCCCGGACAGGCACCCCTCGCCTCACTGCAGCCCTGCACCCCTCCCGGCCCCGTGGACCCGCTGTCCTGTCCCGGCTGGGTGACCCTCCGGAGCCCGGGCGAACTGGAGCCTCCAGGGGGCACCGGGGGCCTCAGCGGGACAGAGTGGGAGATGGCGCCGCCCCGGGGGCCGGGGCACAGGGACGGGCAGGGGGACAACCCCGTGTCAGCTGCTCTCTCTCTCCCCAGGGGAGAGGGCGTGTGCAGAGGGGTCAACGTCACCGTCCACCCGACGCGGCTCCAAGGCCAGTACCAAGGCGCCCGTGAGTAGCCCGGCCCTTGGCCTGGGTCCCACGCTGGGAGGAGGGGACGCCGGATGCCCAAAACTGGCCGCGGGGGCAGGGCCGGTGCGGACGTGCGGCCCACGGGGCAGGCTGGGCCCGCGGGTGGAGGAGAGAGGCGCCCCCCGTCACCAGGCTGGGGTCTGTCCCCCCAGTCCAGGGAGGCGGCAGCATCCTCGTCCGCTTCGTCAGCACCGACTACAGCAGCCTGGTTCTTTACGTCCGCTTCGAGGATGGCGGCGGCGGCGGCGGCGGCGAGGTCACCAGCCTGTGGGCGCTGCTGGGTGGGTGGCGGTCCGCCCCAGCGCTGCGCCCTCCCCGAGGCCTGTGTTTCGTGCCCCCTGTGCTGCGGGTGGGGGGGCGGCCGGGGCCCATTCAGTGCTGCGCCGCATGCCCCTTGGCCACAGGCCCCGGCCCCACATGCCCGTCCCGTCGGTCCACGCTCTCACACGCGCCTCCCTTCCCCCTCTCCATCCCACCTGCGCCGTGTGCTGGGCTTGTCCTGGGAGCTGGCTCCGCGCCCCCCCCCCGCCTCCCCGTGGACAGATCAGGAAGAGCTCTGCCCCCCTCCGGCAGTGGACTGAGCATTCACTCAGCCGCCTGGGGCGGGAGGAGGCACATTGTCCTGAGACTAGACGACTAGACGGAGGTGTGGGAGGGGCCAGGGCCTGTCTGAGACAGGGCGGGGCCACATCGCCCGGTCCTGCAGGCTGGGGAGGGTCATCGGGTGGGGTGGGGCTGCCGGGTCACAGGGCAGCTGCCCTACAGGAGCAGTGGGGACCCTCTGGTTGTCCTTGACCAGGGAAGAGGGCCTGACTGGCCCCTTCCGGGAGCGCTGAGCCCGCTCTGCTCCTTGAGCACGTGGGGCAGGAGGGGGACAAGGGCTGTGGCCAGGGCACCAATCTGGCCTGTGGGCAGTGGGCTTGGGCCTGGCTGAGAGCCGGGAGGAGGGGCCCCTCGCCACCAGCCCCTCTGATTTCAGCCAGAAGAATGCCCGGGGACCCCAGGTGGCTGGAGAAATACCTGGAGTACGTCCGGAAATTCCAGCTGCAAGAAGCACCTGTCTTCAACCTGGACGGTGAGCGCTGCCCCACCCCTACCCTGCACCCGGGCTGCCGGTGGGGTCTGGAGCCTCACCTTCCGGGCCTGGAAGCCCACGGGTGATACCAGCCACGGGAGCAGAGCAGTTGGACACCCCCCTGCAGCGCCCAGTGTGGTCAGGCCTGCGCTGGGCACCTCGCCACCTGTGCTCACAGTCCCCTGAAATGTGGTGACTCGGGCACCAGTGTATTTCCCTCTCGTGGATGTGGATACCAAGGCTCTGAGAAGTTCAGGGACAAGGCCAAGGTCACACAGCCGGGAGCAGGAGATGGGGGGTGCCCCCTTTTCCCTGCAGATTCTCCCTCGGGGAACATTTAGTCGATCAACAAGCACACAGGCCAGGCACTGCTATGGAGTGTGGGCTGCCTGGGGAACAAGGCAGACACATTGTCCTGCCCCTGTGCAGGCCCCACGGGGACACCGGTTCCCCGACATCGTGACATTGTTGCTTTGTCGAGTGCACATGCGGGGAGGGGTGGGGGACCAGGCTGGGCTGCAGGGCGGAACAGGAGCAGAGGGGAGGCAGGGCAGGCTGCCTGGAGGCGGGCGGAGCTCTTGGGCTGGCGGCAGGAGCAGAGGGACTGGGGAGGGAGGGTCTTGGGGGTCATCGAGAGGGCACGGGGGGCTGTGATGGGACGAGCTGCCACCGGGGGTGCTGGGCAGCAGCTGGCAGGGTCACCCCAGTGAGGACCATGGCTGTGTGCTGTGTACGTGACTCACTGATGGGTGGGTGGGTTGCTGTCCAGATGAGTGGACGACAACCTTAGAATCCCACCTGCTCTTTTCTCTCCTCAGCCCGGTGTCCCCCACCTGACGCCTAGGTGAGGGCCACCCCCAGGGCTCCCCTGTGTCCCCCCCCCCGCCGCTTGAGCACATGCCTTCTGACCCCTCTGCTGCCCGAGGAGCCCTTCCTGCCTGGGCCCGCCCCACCCTCACTGCCCGTCCCTCGCTGTGGTCACCAGGCCTGCCCACCAGTGACTGAGGGGCCCACAGGCTGGAGAGCACTCTGGGCGGTGAGGACGGGCAGGTGGCCTGGAGCACAGCACTGCGGCCCAGCGGACGAGCCGCGGTGACCCTGTGAGGGGACAGCGACCCTGTGAGGAGCCAGGCTGGCACTCCTTGGACCTGCCTCGCCCGGGTCCTGCCCTGGGACAGTCCCTGCCCAGGTCAGAGGGGCACCGAGTGACCGTGCTCCCCAGAAGAGCGAGGTAAACACAGGCCCGCATACCTGCACGCAGGTGAGCTGAGACAGGCCACCCACCCCACCCCCAGCGGTCAGGCCTACAAAGGCGGTGCTGGATGGAGGGCGCCCATCTCTGCCCGGGGAGCCGGGGGCCGCCCATGGGCCGGGAAGGCTCGGGAAACTGGGTCAGGGCCTCCACACCGCAGTCTGGGAACGCCGGGGAGACAGGTGCGACCGGCTCCTGCCCCGGACACACCCTCCGCAGGGCCAGGCTCCCGGGCGCCCGGCGGGGCCGCACCTGCGCCTGAGCGGGGCGGCGAGGAGCGGCTGCTCCCGGCCCGGCAGCTCGCTCCGAGCCAGCAAACCCGAGGAGACACGCGTAAGGGACACGCGCTCACACGATTAGCTCGAAACCTGCGGACTTTGTGTGGACAAGACGTCACACATCCTCGCGCCGGGACACGGAAGACGACGAGGAGGAGGGCATAGACCCGCGGCATTGCTGCGGGGCCGTCTGCACCGTGAACGCCTAACGGTCCTCGCACTCACCTGCACCCCAAGCCGCACACCTGGACCTCGGCTCCCCGCCAGGAAATAAACGCTTTGAAGCATTTTACACAGGAGTCACGCAAACGCATCCGTGGTGGGCACTGGGCGGGCGTGGGCAGAGCAGGGGCTGTGGGCCGGGTGCGGGGGTCACCGGGCAGGAGTCCTGGGCGCCCAGTAACGGGCAGAACCGTGAGGCCCGGCGGGGCCGTGTCCTCCGGCAGCGGCCCTCGGAGAGCACGTCTGGGCCTCGGCTAGGCTCCAGCTCCAGAACCAGAGAAGTGCCAGAGCTGGGCGAAGGGGCACCAGGGCCGCCTCGGGGCAGCTGCGGTGGCCAGGGACCCCCTGCCCGGTGCCGACCAATCAGCGGAGACCAGACCCCGAGGAGACACAGGGGAAGCTGATGAACGTTCATTGGGTCCCCCGGATACCAGCCCACCCAGCGCCCCTCCCCACTCCTTCCTTCCCCACGCAGTCTCTCCCTCCCCTCCCTCCCCCTTCCCCTCCCCTCCCTCCCCCTTCCCCTCCCCCTCCCCTCCCCCCTCTCCGAGCATGCTCAAACGTCTCCCTCTTTCCTCTCTCAAGGCCTGCGTGTCTCTCTCCCACTCACTTCCTGAGCCCATTTCTTCCTCTCACTTCCTCTACCTCCGTGACTTTCTCAGCAAACATTCGCTGACAGTCTGGGTCTCGGCTCCGAGATCTTTCTCAGCCAGAACTCAAGTTCCGAGGGTGCCGGCCTGAGGTCTGGTCCGACTCCCATCGCGGGCAGCGTCCTGGGGCCGTTTCCGCCGCCGACAGACCCGCCATGCCAACCACCAGCGTCGAATGGCGGGGGCTCAGATGGCGTGGCGTTAGCCCAGGGGCGGAAAGGAAGGCCTCGGACACTAGGCAGCGAGGCGAGAGAAGAATACAGGTCACTTCATAAGTCCTCTGCTCGCTTACAAGGTCACCATCCCCATTGGTCTGGGGCCCGCCCTGGTGACCTCCTTTCACCTTAGTCACCTCCGTACACACCCCGCCTCCAAAGGCAGCCCCGTTCTGAGGTCCTGGGGGCACAGGGCTTCCACATGCGAATTTGGGGGACACTTCAGGCCGTCCCCTTACTCAGCTGTTTCCACGCCATCAGAGAGGGTTAAGAAGAGCACCCTATTGTGACTTTGGACCCTTCAGCCCCTTGAGGACTCTGGAGCCCCTCACTGTCCTGAGCCACGGCAGCGCTCCAGGCTGCCCACGTCTTGTCCCGTCAAGGACTTCTGAACTTGGGAAAGAAGCGCCACGCCGTCTCCCCTCCCTGGGGAAACCCGGCCGCTCGAGAACACAGTTCCACTCTTAAGGATTTCCCATCCCTCGTGGCCCCTCCAGCGGACCTCCACGGAGCTCTGTGCATGGCTCTCGTTAAAAACATGAATACAATGCCCTGGCTGGTGTGGCTCAGTGGATGGAGTGGCTGCTTGTGAACCGAAAGTTCACAGGTTCAATTCCTGGTCAGAGCACATGCCTGGGTTGTGGGCCAGATCCGCAGTAGGGGGTGTATGAGAGGCAAGTGATCAATGTTTCTCTCACGCATGGATGTTTCTCTCCCTCTCTTTCTCCCTCCCTTCCCCTTTCTCGAAAGTAAATAAATAAAATCTTTAACAAAATAAAACCTGAATAAAATGCCTGTAACTTTACAAAGCGAACTTGAGATCAATGTACTCAGCAGAAAGTCCGCCCCACCCGGTCGCACAGGGAACAGAACCACACCCGTCACAGGGTCAGACACGGCAGGGAACAGCCCGACCATGAGAAATGCTCCGTGTGTCCGTGAGTCAGCCCGGGAGTGTTTATTCCTTCCTTTGCCTGTCGTCCCTGGCCCTTGGTGCACAGATCGTACATCTTCTCTGAACTGCAGTCTCAGTCAAAAAAAATCACCTTACGCCTCCAAAATCATTTCCAGGCTACCTGCAATACGTACACCACCACCGTGGCTTCTCCGCGAAACAATCACCCTTTCAGTCTCTCTCCTGCTTCAGCCAAACTGGGCTGTTGAATATCGCAAGGAGCAAAGCTTCTTGGAGATGGCTGTGCGTTTTCCTTGTCTGTGGGCGGGGCCGGCGGCCTGTGGGCGGGGCCGGCGGTCACCAGCCCCTCTTGGCGAGCTGCAGCACCTTGGCGCGCTGCACCTGCAGGGGCGGGGGGAAGGCTGCGTTCCAGCTGTACTCTGGCGACAGCAGCTTGGCGGGCTTGTGCAGGAAATAGTACTTGTTCAGGTGTCTCTCGTAGGTGCTGTTCAGCCCGCGCTTCAGGTCGTGGGCCATGCCCGTCAGATACGCTTCGATCAGGTCTAAGACGTGCAAGGGTGTGCCCCCGACCAAGGCGCCGTCGTAAAAGTAGTCCCCCTCTCCAAACGGGATGCAGGCAGCGGACCCGGGCCTCCTCTCGTAGGGGAGATTCCTTCCGCCTTTAAAGTACCACCAGGCGTGGAGCTGGGCCACCTCCGCGCCCAGGATCTCCTCCCCCACGTCGCCCTGGAAGACCTGGTTCACGCTCATGCTGAAGAGAAAGTCGACCTCCCCCCGGATGTGACTGAGGATGTAGTCGCCCAGGTTCTTCATGCGCAAGACGTTGAAGTCGGGCCACCAGATGTCCTGCCTGATGGTCAAGACCCTGAACGTGTGCAGGGGCACGGGCTGCAGGGGCGGCAGCTCGTACCAGTCGTCCACCATGACGTAGAAGACGACCCGGTACCCGGCCAGGAAGTGCTTGTTCGCCGAGCGCAGGAAGCGCTCCAGGTGCCGGTAGGCAGTCCTGCAAAACACGCGGGTGCGGGAAGGCCCTTATTCCCCGGGCACGCGCGTCGTCTCGCAGGGTTGGCTAGCGAGAGAGAGCCCTCGGCGCTTCCGGACACCCGGCAGGTTTGGGTGCGGGGGCGGGAGGGGGCGGGGCTTTGAGCTGCCAGTCAGCGGAGGAGGCTGCCATGAGCCAGGCCTGGGAAAAGCCTTCAGAGTCTGGGGACAGCAGCTGGAGGGAGAGACAAGGGCTATATGTGGACGTGAGTAGAAAGTTGATGACCCAGCAAAGGAGGGGGCGAGGGCCAGGCCCCCCTCCGCCCCCGGGGAACAGTGGTTACGGGCGTGCAAGCAACCCTTTGGAGGCAGAAGGGCCGTGGGTGCCTGTAGGGCCTTAGCAGCGTTAGAAAAGGGCCAGGGTGGGTGGCCCCTACCTGCCGGGGGCAAAGACGGCCAGGCCCACGGTGAGGTTCTGCGTCCTGTAGTGTCTCCACAGGGCCTGCCTGTCGAAAGTGCCCTCCCAGACGACGGGGGCCAGCCAGCCCGTGGTGGTCACGACGTCAGGCCGTTTCCTGGGGAGCGAAGGAGAGGCAGGTGCAGCGAGCGGTCCTGTGTTCCCTCCCTGCGGCGGCCGCAGAGGCTGCGGACTCCAGCAGCGAGCGCTCGCCACGCCTGTGCTCTGTGCCGGGCGCCGTGCGGAAGGGCACCTCATCGCATGCGCCATTTGGGTCAGTGCCCGAGGCCCGCACGGCCGGCAGCTGCCCTGGCCTCCCGGCGAGTGCCGCCGCCTCCCTCCCCTTTCCTACCCACTCTCAGGATGATTTCACTTAACCTCCCCCCTCAGGCTTTAAGTCCATCTTTGCAACGCAGCAGAAATGAGGCAGGTCACTCGGGAAAGAGAGAGACATTCGGTAGCAGGATCTCAGAGACGCAAAGCCGGTTCGACCATCAGAACCATCCAGTGCAACCTCCCGTCGGGAGCCTGTCTCGACCAACACGGGAGAAAAGCACCCCGCAAAGTGCAACACCCACTCGTGATCAGAAAGACAGCCTCTCGGAAACAGGATGAGAGGGGAACTAGCTTCCCATGATAAGGAGCAGCTACAGAACCCTGCAGCGGAAGCCCCGCCCCGCTGAATGCTCCGTCCCCGGGGTCAGGGACACGGAGGGCTGCCCGCTGTCGGCAGAGCGAGAAGGACACAATGCGGGAGAGGAGGAAGGGACAGGCGTCCGACTGGAAAGGACACCTGGACTCTCCTATTTGCAGGTGACTGGATGGCCACACAGGAAGTCCTCGGGCCTGGGAAACACCCCCACCAGCCCAGGGGAGCTGCACCGTGCATGTGGCGGGGGGCGGGGGGTGCAGAGACGACACATTGTCCTTACCTGGGGTGGAACCAGTCTGAGAGCCGCAGTTCTCCCGCTCGGTGCCTGCGAGCGGAGGGAAACCGAGTCAGCACGTAAACCACCGTGCGCGAGTATCTGCCCAGCCCCGAGGCCTGGCGGGGCTCTTGGCCCCGTTTCCACGGCTGCACACTGGGCCCCACCGCCCCTGCCCTGGGGGCGCCGACACGGAGGAGCCAGAGTGCTCCCCAAGGCGGGTGCTCGCAGGGGCTTCTGGGAGCGCGAGGGGCTCGTCCAACCCAGATTTGGGGTCGGGGGAGCTGCCTGGAGAGGGGAGAGCTGGCCTGATCTGGGACGGTGGGGGCCAGAGGGAGCGCGCCAAACCCCAGCCAGCAGCAGGTCGGAGTGCGTGTCCCGGCAAACTCAGGTGCGATCCCCTCTTTCATCGCCACCCATGTCAACACGCGATGCACCTGGCGTCGTAGCGTGACTGTAAGTGAATTATTCTATCATCGAGCTCCTTAGCCACTCCCTCCGTAACCCCAGGGTATTTTGTAAATGCAGGGGGGGGGGCATCTGTCCTGACACAATCAGAAATGTCCGTGATCACAGATACGTCATTGTTGGGTTCCCCAGGAGTTACCATCAAAACCTGAATTGCTCGGGGACAAATGTCACTAAAAACGTGACGTGACAAAGGGAAAGAGTCACTGAAAAATCACCCCCTGTTTAGGATGCCGGTGCTGCGAACTCCGGGGGTCCCCCGGGAAGCACTGCTGGGTGGACTCCTGGTTGGAGGGGGCGGGTCCTGCCCTCAGGAGCCGTGGCCCAGGAGAGAGACCTTAAACCGCAGCAGGGCCAGCCTGGTCCTGGCTGGGGGAGGCCAGCGAGACCGAGGCGCGACTGCTCCACGCGGCCGGCGCCGTCCGTGGCTCCCCAGCCGGTCACACCACGCACCCTGCCAATTGCCTGCCACCACCAGCCGGCCTCTCAGCCCAAACCACGTTCTCCCACGTCCAGCAGCTTCCAAACCGGGTCTTATTTATTTTATTTTTTTGTTTTATTTACTTATTTTTGGAGGGAGGGAGGAAAAGAGGGAGAGAAACATCCACATGTGGTTGCCTCTCAAGCGCCCCCTACTGGTGCCCACGGGTGCCGACCACAGAGCCCCCGCTGCCCTCGGGACTCTGCCCACAGACAGACTCTGCCCACAGACGCCCTCCCAGCTGCAGTGACTTCAGCCAGACGGCAGCCCGGCCCCAGGTCTCCCAGGGGGGTCACCCTTTCGCTGAGGTGGCACGACGCTGCCCTCCCGTGTCCCGTCTGTTCCCTGCTGCACACACAGCACACACCTGCTAAACTACTACATGCGCATACATGTAGACGGTTTCTGGCCCCCGGCAGGAAGCCCGCACTGGGTGCCCTGGGGCTCCCGCCTTTGCCTCTCGGTCCCCCCTGCTCCGCCTCCGCTGGAGCCGCTCGGCCCCCGCAGTTCCACCTCCCAGCCTGCGGGTCTCTGAGCACAGACCGGGCAGCGACACGCCTGTCCCCAGGGAGGACGGCCCGGTGCCGCAGGCTCCCGGCTCTTTGGAGGTTAAGACAAGCACCAAGCAGTGTCTTCACCTGAGGCTGTCCCCACGGTGCCAGGCGACTGCTGCCCCGAGGATTCACTGTTTATCAGCAGCCGGCGGCACCTCATCGTCCTGTAGCTTTATTTGCTAAATGTGCCGTCCCTGTCGGTAAGTGACATTCTTTTCATGAACACACGCTTACATTGTGGACCGAACACCACTGATTGCAATTTGAGTCACAAAAATTCTGGAAAACATTCAGATCCACCTATTTACTGACTTTTTTTTTTAAAAAAAGGTTTTATTTATTTATTTTTGGAGAGAGGAAAAGAGAGAGAGAAACATCACCATGTGATTGCCTCTCAAGTGCCCCCTACTGGGGACCTGACCCACAACCCAGGCATGTGTCCTGACTGGGAATCGAACCTGTCACCCTTTAGTTTGCAGACTAGCACTCGACCCACTGAACCACACCAGCCAGGGTTAGCCACTCACTCTGTAAGCAAATAACCATGAGCGCCTACACGTGTCAGGAGGAGGCGGCCCCGTGAGCATGTAGCCAAGCGCACCCTGGGGACTGCAGGTGGCCGGCAGCCACCTCCCGGTGAGGAGAGCCGGTCTCTGTCGCCAACGAGCTGCTCTCAGCCCTGTGGCAACACGACCCCTCCTCAGGTGGCGTCCGTGGGACGAGACTCAACCTGTCACGCAGGGGCCAAGCCGTGGGGTCGGCGTTCGCTTCCGTTATTTTGCATTGCTAACCGATTTTACTTTATTTCCCCGTCTTTTGTTTTTTTAACGCACTTTGCTGTTAGAGAGGTTTCCCAGGGAGAGGCTGTAGAGCCAGTCCCTGGCACCCCCGTGCCCGCCCCCTGTTACCAACAGCACGTCTGACGCTTGTCACAGGGCCACCTCTGAGTAACGCAGGCCCCGCTCCCGGCTTCCTCAGCCGTCCCCCCTCCCAGGGCCCTGGCTGGGACCCTCGTGGTGCCTCGTGACCCGGGCCCCCTCGGCACCGGAACTGCCCAGGATGAACCGCTGGGTGTTTAAAGACAAAAGCACCAACGTGCGTGTACTTTGCCCCACCCAGACGAGGCGACGTCTCGTCAGGGTCAGGGCCGTTGTTGGCGTCTTCGGGCAGGACCCAGCGGTGGGAGCGCGGCGGCCGGCCCGCCCACCCATGGGCGTGTCCCGGTTACCTGCGGCAGCGCTCCGCCAGCAGCAGCGCCAGCAGCAGCGAGGCCAGCAGCAGCAGCTTCCTCCTGGGGCTCGGCCTCATCTGCAGGGACAGGAGACAGGAGTCCGGCTCGAGCGGGAGGGCGTGCACCCCTGCCACCCACCGTCTCTAGCCAGGGCGTCACTTGCAGACATCAGGGTCAGCCCCCGGACGCTCGGCCCTGGGGTCAGGACCCCTGTTCTGGAAGCCCCCTCTGGGGGCTGAGCGCACCCAGCTGGTGACACTTCACTGCGTAAAAGAAGTGCAGTGAATCTGTCTGCTGTGCAGCTGGGGACGGGAGAGGGCCCTGCTGAGGGTCGTCCTGGGCAGGAGGGTGCGACCTGCCCCCGGCGCTGGCTGCTTGCCCTCGTGGTCTAAGCGCCCACGGGCTCCCGGGGGCAGATGCCGGTGCCCAGGATGGTGTCTACGCCAGGGGCGTGGCATTGAGACGAGGCCTCAGTCCAACCCAGCGCCTGCCTGGGTGGGTTTTCTGTGGGCTCCTGTTCCCAGGTCTGCAGGGCCCAGGCCACCTGGCGGTGTGTGAGCTCCTGGTGGCCCACTCCCGAGCACTCGGGTGACGAGCAAGCTCCTGGCGCCTGTGCCCACCCACTCGGCAGCCACTGGCTGGAGAGGAGCCGTGAGCTGACCAGACACACTGGGCTTGAAGACAAAAGGGCTTAAATCTCTCTCTCCAATTTTGTATCGATCCATGAGAAACGATGGGGCCTGGGTCTACGGGACTAAATACAAACACGCTACGAAAATGAATTCGCCTGCTTTCTTGAACCCCCTGCGACGTGGCTGCCAGGAAGCTGGGTGTGACGGAGGTGGCTCGTGCTGTGGCTCTGCCGGACAGTCCTTGGACACGGCCACCCGGCTGTCTGGCCTGGCAGGGCTCCCGCCCCCCTCAATGTGACGCTGAAGGAACACCACAGGGGTGGGGAGGACGGGGCCCCTCTGGCAGCGCGCCACGGCTTCCCCCGTCCCTCCACAGGTCCCTTTACCTCGGTTACAGTGACGGGGGAGACACCCGAGGAGGTCCTGCAAGGGTAGAGGCTTCCACATGTCTGTCCTTGGTGTCACTGCCCCGCTCCCGGGTGGCTGGGGCTTCCGCGGGGGGTGACGTCAGCAGGCCCTTTGATGACGCGAGCGAAAGGGAGCCAGTCACAATGCTGGCCGGCCGGCAGGGGCTTCTCCCAGCTGCGGACCACAGCCTGCGGACCACTATCCTTTGAATAATCAAAGGATATTTGCGAGTGAGCTCTTCGTTTCCTCTGCGGTCCCCTTGCTCCCAGGAGGAGTCACGCGGGGCTGTGACTCTGTGCCTGGCGGCGGGCGGGCGGGGGGGCGGCCTCTGTTTTCCTTCCCCGGACGGCGTCCAATCCGCCCCGAGGAGCCCGGCCCACCTCCTGCTTTTAGGGTTTCTAAGCACCCCTCTCTCCGAGGGTAGAGGTGATGCGGCCACGCGGGCCCCGTCCGTGCGTGAGGGCACCAGGAGCAGCAGCTGCGTGCTGCCCCTGGTCTGCAGAGGCCGCCAGGAGGCGGGCCTGCCCCGAGGCTGGGTCAGGTCTGGGGAGTCGACGCAGGAGAGGCTTCCGGAGGCTAGGCTCTCTCCACGGCAGTTACACCCTCGAGAAGCCATGGTCCCCCTCCGTTGCCCTCCTGTGTTCAGGGTCTTTCATCCGTGTCCGGGGACAGTTGTACACCAGCAGCGTCCACCCACACACGCTCCCATCTGCCCATCCCCCCACCATCCCCCCACCACCTACCCGTTCACTATCCACCCACCCACCACCCACCCACCACCCATCCACGACACCAGGGAGAGCAAAGTAGGACAAAGGGAAGGCCAGGGATCAGCGAGAAGGAGGGTGAGGTGGGTGGGTCCTCATCACCACCATTATCCCTCCTCTGTCTGTCTACCTGAACAGCACCTGCTGTCCTGCTGTGACCCCGCACCTGGAGCACAGCAGGTGCTCGATAAGCAAGATAGAGACCAACACACGAACTCTGCCCTGGGTTTGTTCTTTTTTTTTTAAGATTTTATTTATTTATTTTTAGAGAGGGAAGGGAGGTAGAAAGAGAGAGAGAGAGAAACATCAATGTGCGGTCGCTGGGGGCCGTGGCCTACAACCCAGGCATGTGCCCTGACTGGGAATCGAACCTGCAATGCCTGGTTCGCAGCCCGCGCTCAATCCACTGAGCTATGCCAGCCAGGGCTGCCCTGGGTCTAAAATAGGGTTTGGTGTCCAGCATCTGGTCTGTCTAGCTCAGACCCCGGCCGACCACCAGCCCGCCTTGTGTCCAGACACGGCGCGGAGAGACGGGGGACTTCCCGTCGCAGCCCTAGGACCCCCATCAGGGTGGGGGGAGGGCGCGGCACGGGCCAACGCCGGTCTGCCCTCTCGTCTGTCTTCTTCCCCTCGTTCCTTAAACCCCGAATCTCTTTCTCGTTCTGGCCCCGCAGCCTGACCCCTTGCCCTCTGGCAGCACCCCCTCCAGGGCTCTGCGGAGTTTCACCCCAAAGCCACAGTTGTGTCTTTGAGGCCAGGGTGCCCCACGTCCAGGTGGGCCGCAAGGGGCCGGGTGGAGCCCTTGGGATAGCCTGGCTGGCCACCTGGAGAGGCCAGTGAGACCCCAGTGTCACCCACGGCCCCCGTGGGGGGTGGGGGCTGGGGCCCAGGGCACCGGGCCGCCACCGTCCTGCTTGTCCCACTTCCCTGTGGGGCTCTGACACCACGGCACCCTCGGTCCAGTGGACTGCAGAGCGAGCCCGTTGCTGGCTGGACAGGGTGAGCTGTGGGGGCGGCGCGCGGCCCTTGGCCGAGCTCCCACTGTGGGCGGGCCGTGTAGGGGGGACGGCAGAGCTGCGGGGGCCGGAAACCGCAGCGCAGGGGGGTATAAAGGGCCGCCTCTGGCGAGGCGACCGGTGAAGGGATGGCGCCGTGGCTGCTGCTGCTGCTCCTGCTGCTGCTGAGCCTCCTCTCCGCCCAGGAGCTCGACCTGCGCGCCGTGGTGCGCAGGAACTACAATATGTCCAAGGTGGGTCTGCGCACCGGACTCCTGTCCCCCGCCACCTGCGGTCGCTGCCCTGTGACACCCTGTGCCCTGGGGGCGGGGGGCCAGCTCTCCTTCCCCAGCTGCGACAGCAGCCTGGGGAGGCCAGGGGAGGCCCTGGAGGAAGGGGGGGGGCCGGGGGGGAGGTCCCTGGAGGGCAGAGGTCGGCCCTGGCTGGGAGCCGCCGGCGCAGGAGGCTGGCCCAGGAGGCTGGCCCCGCAGGTGCAAGGAGTCCAGAGCCATCCTGCAGGCCCCCCGCCCATGGGCGCCTTTGTCGGCAGGTGTCAGGGGTCTGGCATTCTATTTCCATGGCCTCGGACGACATGACTCGGATCGAAGAAAACGGGGACCTGAGGGTCTTCGTGGAAAAAATCGAAAGTTTGGACGACGGCAGCCTGAAGTTCTCCTTCCACTTCATGTGAGTGCGGCCCAGGGTCGGCCCCAGGCACAGCCCCCTGCAGCCCCTCACTCTGGGAGCGCTGCGGGTGGAGGCCAGGGGGCGGGAGCCGCTGGGGTGGGGAGGGGCCAGCTAACTGCCGCCTCCTGCCTTCCCCCCTCTGCTCCCCCCCCTCCGCTCGTCCCCCGCCTGCCCCGCCCCGCCCCGCGCGCAGGCTGCTCGGGGACTGCGTGGAGGCGGCCGTGGTCTGCCAGAAGACCAACAAGAACGGGAAGTACACCCTAGACTGTGAGTGGGCGCCCGTCCTTCAGGGCCGGGGCCGTTTCCCAGTGAGCTCCGATTTAGGGGACTTTAGGGGACCCCTGGGCGGCTTCCGCTCAAGCGAGAGGACCCAGCCCGCCACGCAACCCCAGGCGCCTCACCAGCCCCCTGTCGTGAAGGCCCCTGGATCTGTCCCCCAGGGGGCGGGCACCGGAGGGGCCACCAAAGACGGGGCCCTCGGAGTGGTACCGGGGCTCAAACTGCCCTCCTGCCTGGACCTGGCTGGCCTGCCACCCACCCCCTGGGCCCCACGGCACCCCGGCACCCCGCCTGCGGGTGCCAGGACGGTGCTGGGCAGGGCCGCTCTGAGCTGCGTCTCCCGCAGACAAGGGGAACGGGACGGTCCTGCTCTGGGAGACCGACTACAGGCTGTACGTCACCTTCTACCTCCGCAGCGTCAGCAACGGCACCGCCACGCAAGTGCTGGCACTTTACGGTACCTCCGCTTCCCGCAGGCCTGTCTGCCTCCTGCGGCCCCTCCCCCTGAAGATAGGCCCCGCCCCCAGAGACAGGCCCCCGTCCTCTGGGTCTCCCAAACGGCCCAGGTTCCCACCACCACTGTCCCCACAGACAAGTCCCACCGCGTGGTGAGGGTGGCCCCAGCCCAGGCAGTCACGCCCCTCAGCCTCGTGCTGCGGGGGGGTGGGGGGGCGCCCCCAGAGACCCTCCCTGCACATCGTCCCCAACAGCCCGTGAGGGACCCCAGCCTGGTGTTCTGTCCTCAGGACGGTTTTCAGAACTGAGACCCAGCTTCCGGGCCCGATTTGAAAAAATCTGCAAGAGATACGGACTTGGGCCACAAAACATCATCGACCTGACCAGCCAAGGTAGGGCCTGCGGCTTCCAGGGAGGAGCTGTAGGGGGCGCTCCCGGCCCGGCACAGCCAGCCCCGGGATGCCCAAGGGTCTGGGGGAAGAGGAGACCCAGCGGGGCCCATCTGAGCCAGCTCTGTCTCCCCAGATCTGTGCAAGAGATACTAGAAGTACAGGAGACCCCGCTGTTGTGTCGATGGTGAGCTCCACTGGGCACGTGGGCACTGCGGCAGCGGGAGGCTGGTGGGACGGGGGAGGGGGGGACGCGCCGGCTTCCTGGGGGGGGCAGGGTCAGAGCAGACATGAACCCTATCCCGCGTGACTGTCCCAGCGCTGCTGGCATCAGTGACCACAGTCCGAGGGACTCAGAACGACGGTTCTGAACACCGGAGCGCTGGCATCCGGGCGTCCCAGGGCCCCGCCCCCTCTGGAGTCTCCGGGGAGGGTCCCTCCTGCCTCTCACAGCTTCTGGTGGCCGCAGGCATCCCTGGGTTGGCGGCCCCATCCCTCTAGTCTCTGTCTCCATGGTGACACGCCTTCTCCTCTGTGTCCCCGTCTCTCCTCTTCTGTCTCCTATAAGGAGCTGTCCCTGGATGGAGGCCTGGACAACGTGGGAAGACCGCATCTCAGGAGCCTTACCGGAATCACACCTGCAAAGACCGTTTCCAAACTCAGCCTCGTGCACAGCTGCCGACATCGGGGTTTGAACCGGGACACAATCTGGGGGCGCCATGCTGACGTGCGGGTGGCCAAGGGTGACAGGGGTCCCGCTGTGTCCGTCCTCACGACCTCATGGGAGCCTTCGAGGATCTCAGAATACACGGTGAGCAAGGAGATGCGTGTCCTTCCTTCAGAGCCTGCCCCAGACGTGCCAACAGGCTCCTTCCTTATCGCCTCACCCGCCGTGTCCAACAGGGCGGCCCCCCACCGGCCCCGGCCTCACCCTGCCGTGGCCCCCACTCAGCCCCAGTGCCCACCCCCGTCGTTGCCCGGCCTTCTGGACCTCTCTGCCCCGACCCAGGGCTCCCTCCACCTCCCCATCTCCCCTTGGAACAGGGACCACACCTCCTCCCGCTTGTGCTCCTGGGCGCTGGGTGGGGCTGCTGGGCAGGGCCAGGGGGAGGCTCTGCTGGCCCTGAGCACCCCCAGTCTGAGGGGCGGCTGGCCCTGCTCCTCCCTCCTCAGGTGAGCACAGCCTGAGACCCTCCCCATGCCCCGCTGCCCCAGAGATCCCCAGGGTGAGGACGTGGCCTGGGTCAGCCCCAGACTCCAGGGGGTGCCCCTCACGGCTCACACTCTCGGGTGCTGGGAGAGTGCACCCTGCCCAGCCCCGGGGTCTGCTTGTCACTGCTGAGTCTGGCTGCAGGACCAGGGCTCCGGGCACCAGTCTCCTTCTAGGCTGGGGTGAGGGGCGGAGAGCTTTGTGCCCCTTCCAAGGTGCCAGACACCCAGACAGAGCAAGTTCCCGTGGGCAGGTGGTGAGCTGGGCCACCCCCCCCCCCGGCACTCCCACAGCCAGCCGGGCCTCCAGCGCCCTGTCCGGAGCCTTGGTCCTGCCTGCTGGGCTGTGGCAGGGGACGCTGCCCACTCGGCCGTGGCCTGCTGGTGCAGGAAGCTGGCATTTGGCAGTCCCGCCCAGAAGTGTGCTAGGAGGCGGCTGCTGGCAGTGTGTGAAGGCACCCTGGGGCCACGGAGCTGTGTCACCCCTGCCCACAGGGACGTGCAGGGGGAGCTGAGCCCAGATCCTCGGGGTCCCCGGCCCCGGCCGTGTGAGCCGGCTGTGGTGCGCGGTGTGGGGCTGGGGCTGGGGCTGGGGCTGTCCTGTGGGCTCCTGCAGCCCAACCCGACCCAGAGACCCCCATGGACAGGAAACAGTGGCGGTGGGCAGGCAGCCCGGCCGCAGGGTCCAGGGCTCAGGGCGGAGCAGACTCACTCCGGGCAAGAGGGCACCATGGAGACAAGGTCACCGCTGCTGACACCTGGGGCAGCGGAGGTCACACCTCGGCAAACGACTCCGACGAGTGGAGAGTCTGTACCTCCCAGAGCGAGCACGCC